TACATATATACATATATATATAGGAGGAGGAGCCATAGCAGAAGGAGGAATAATAAGGCTGCCGCCATGGGGGGAAAAAGGAGGAATATAAGAAGCAGGATGATACGCAATCAGAAGAGGAGGGGTGCGATAAGCAGAGGCGGGGGCAGGGGCTGTGGGGGGGGGCGGGTGATCAGGATGGGGGGGCTAATATGGGGGAACAGGAACGGCGAAGGAGGAGGCAGTGGAGGAGGAGAAGGATGAGAAGGAGAAGGAGGAGGATAGGAGGGGCCTGCCCCCCGGGATGGCCGACGGGGCGCCTGACGTCGCACCCGGCGAAATGTGAGATTGGAGACTCTGGTGCCCTTTTCGTTTTCGTCGTCCGCTCCTGTAGCTGGTCCGCCTCCTCTTCTTCGTCCGCATTTTCCTCCTCCTAGCTACATATCATCCTCCTCCTCTTCGCTCCTCTTCTTCCCTAGTAATCCTCCTCCCCCCCTTCTCCTGCGCCAGTCGCGCGTCGCCAATTGTACGAGCGGCGGCTGCGCGGCGCCCTCCCTGCGCCGTCGGTCAAGACGAGGCGACGTTCCCCCCTGGCGAGTCTCGAGGCTGCCTCGCCCCCCCCCCCCATTCCCCCCCTCATGTTTGATATGTGTGTATATATATATATATGTTGAGGCATTGTGTCTTGTTTCCCAGGTCCGAGTCGCATTTTTCAGGGGTGCATGGTTTTCGAAGGCCCGCCCCCGTTGGATACGTTGACTCGATGGGGGCGCTTCGAAATGCAGGGTCGACGCTCGAGACGGGCCTTTCGAGAATTGCGATCCAAAAAGGGGCCGAAGTGAAATGGGGAGAGGATCGAATGGGGAAGGACAATAACGAATCTTCTGAAGCATCCTGTCTTCTTTCCCAGGTCCGAATCACATCTTGTACGGGGCACGGTTTTCGGGGGCCCGCTCCACCGGGATATGCTTCGGGGGCTATCGGACTCGATGGGGGCGTTTCAAAATGCAGGGTTGGCTTTCGTGACGGGCCTACTTTCGAGGGCGGCGATCGAAGGGGGGCACCGAGGTATAATATGGAGATAGGGTCAAAGGGGAGAACAGCGAGGAAGAGGAGGAGGAGGGGGAGGAGGAGGAGGAGGGGAGAAACTGAGGAGGAGGAGGAGCGGGGGAGGAGGAGGATCGAGCATCTTCGTTGACCGGGGACTCTGTGCATGAGCTAGCCTCCTCGGGACTCCCCCTAGTCTCTGCGGTTCCCTTCCTCGGACGTGTCTCTAGGGTTCTCTTCCTCCGACGTGCCTCTAGGGTTTTCTTCCTCCGACGCGTCTCCAGGCGCCCCCTCCTCCTCCAGGGCTGGAGCGCGGAGCTCCATGCATCGGGGTGCGTGGCGACGATGCGCCGCCCGCCGACGCTCCAGCTCCCCCCCCGTCCTCGCCCCTGTCCTCTCCAGCATGTCGCCATTCTAATTCCCCATAGTCTTCTCTCCCCCGCGCGCCTCCCCCGTGCGCCCCCCCCCCCGCTCGATCTCATCAATCCTCTCGGTTATGTGCATGTCCACTTCGCCGCGGAGAGCTAGCGGCGCTCGGCGCCCATTCCAAGGTTAGAGGCCCAGTGAATTGTAGACCGCTCAGCTTGTTAGCAGCAGCCCAGCTCGCTGGAAGCAGCGACAGCTCGATTAAGAATAAGGTGCGAGCCCGTCCTTCCCACATCTCCTGTTCATCATCGTGCTGCTCTTGCTAGTCGTCGTCGTCATCTTGCTATGCTGCAGGCGTGCACCCCCCGCCCGCCTCCGCGTGCGATTATTGCCCCCGCGCCCCATCCCCCCCCCCACTGGCGTGCGAGCGCGTTAGGTTATAATGGTCATACAGACGGTCATGTTGGTCATTGGTGACTGCCCTGTGGAATGTGTTTTCGGTCGTACTGGCACGCTTAGCGCTTTGGTTCGATGGGTGTTTTGGTTTGCGCAGCGTGCTGCGTGCTTGGAGGGTTGCTAGGCGATCTTATGGTGCGAATAGGGCTGCTAAGTGTATACATGGGCTGCGCTGCGGTTGCGGCTCGCATGCGAGGGTGGGCCCATGCAGTACATTACGGAAGTGTCTGACAGTTGTGAAGGTTTTAATCGACGTGCGTTGAAGTGCTTTAGCGTACGTGTCAAGGTAATGGGTTAGTAAGTTCGTAACAGCATTTTCGATTGGTATCCAATAACTTCATGAATTGTATAGAACTATATGATATTCACTTCCACCCGATGAAACCCCAAGATACCCCATGTAAACTCTGCTAATACAATTAAAAAACACATACCTTCCACGCCGACCGCGCGGATAGTATGGAAGGTGGAGGCCCTGGGGGGGAGGGGGGGTCCGGTGGCGTGAGTTCTGGTGGCGTGGGGGGGGGGGGGTCCGGTGGCGTGGGCTTGCTTTCAAAACCATTGGATTTCCTTAGAAATCGCCTCAGAACAATTGGTTTGCCAGGGAGGAGGGGGGGGGTCTGGCGATTTCTCTGCATGTTTTTACAAAAGGACCCTCTGTAGCTGCGCTCGAGGGGTGGCGCGCGGGCTTTGCAGCTTTTGCAGAAGGACCCTCTGTAGATGCGCTCAAGGGGTGGCGGATTTGGTGCTTTTACATGAGGACCCTCTGTAGATTCGCCCAAAGGGTGGCGGCTGTGCTGCTTTTGCAAAAAGACCCTCTGTAGGTGCGTTCAACGGGTCGCGCGTGAAATTCGCGCGTAGTTGCGATCACAAAAGAAACACGTTGCACAGACCGCCAAGGACTTTGCATGACCGCCCCGTCGAAACCGCTCGTTGTGTAGAAAAGTCGGTGGGCTGGCCCTTGGGAGGAGGAGGAGGAGGAGGAGGAGGAGGAAGAGGACAAGCAAAAGGAGGAAAATGAGGAGAGCGAACGACCATAAAACAAAAACAAGGAGAGATAGATGGAAAAAAAAAAAAGAGGAGCATGAGGAGAGGGAGGAAGGATGACAAGGAGGACGCGTCGATCCTCCACCCTCGGGCCCTCAGCACCACGCCCTACCGAGATATGCACGTGTTTTGTTCGCCCTTTTGCTGGGAACGAGCACCGAGGGAGACAGAGAAAAGCAAAAGGACTTGTTGTCCCAAAGATGTTTGGCTACAACTGCGGGCAATACTTCTGTCCATGTCCACTGCGATATGGAGTTTCGGGTTCCCTTCCCCAGAAACCAGAGGCGCGCTGGATATGGATAAATTTGCCTCCTAGAGGCTCGATTTTTATCCATATCCAGTGCGCCTCGGCCTTGTGACGCTCCTTCCCAAAAAATCCACGACGCACTGGATATGGATACGAACCTTGCCCGCAACAACTGGTTTCGTGTCGTCCCGGACTTCCGGCGACAGGTTCCAGGCCGTCGTCCCTGAATTGCGGACCGCACTTGCGCTTCACGCATCCCTGCCAACCGGTCAAGGATTCACGCCCAGACGAGTTGAGTTGAGGGGAGAGAAGCGACCAGAAAAACAAAACGGATGTTCACCAGTTGTTTGTTAGTTTTCGTCCCAGTCTTTCGGCGCTGCCGCCGCGGCGTCGTCCCAAACATTGGGGACAGACGCAAGCTTCACGCATCCCCGCGAACCTCTCAAAAAATTACGGCCAGACGAGTTCAGGTGTGTGCTTCTGTGCGAGGGTGCGTGTGTGGTGCGAGTCTGCGAGTGTCTGGCGTGCTGGTGTCTGGCGTGCGCCTAGTGTGTCTCATTATGTGTATGCGCCGTGTGTGCATTTGGTAGTGTGCGTGCGTGAGGTGTGCGCGTGGTATGTGTATCCGATGGGCATGTGCGCGCGTGCGTTTCCTGAGTGGGCATGTGTGTGTGTGGGTGGTGGTGTGTGTGCATGTCTGTGGCGCGGTTTGGGTGGCGTGTGTAACAATATGACATGAGTGTGTGCGGGTGTTCATGTTTACATGGGTGAGTACGTGAGTATCGTGGTGGTGTGTGTCCATGTGTGTGTCGTGTGTTTGTGTTCATGTGGGCGTGCGTGCGTGTGTGCGCGCGTGTACACGGTGCTCGCGCGCGAGTGCCGGGCGCGGCGTGTTCGCGCGAGAGACAAATAACAGTCGGGGGGGCGAGCAGAAACGATGATGGTAATGTTTTGGAAAGTGATCGTGGTGGCGCGCGCGCGCGAGTGCGGAACGGCGCGGCCAGGAACTGGCCAAAGGCAGCGACAAAATAGTGTGCGCGTAGAGCGTTTGTTTGTGTGTGTGTGTTTGAGCGTGCGCCCGTAATGTCTGCGTCTGGGGGGTAACCCCGAGCGACCCGGATCGGCGGCACTGGCCGAAACTCACTTGAATTCTCCCTCCCCCTTCCACCTGTCCTCTCTTCCCTTCTTTTAGGGGTTGCACAAAATACACGTGGCAGGTAAGGAAAATATGCCGCCAAGGGGGTACGATCGAAGACGACGAGGGCGGGTATCGAGGGTTTGGAATGCACGTATTGATTAGCACGTGAGCAGATGGGAACAAACAGTCTTCAACTGATTGTTGTTGTTGTTGTTTCCTCGCGGTTGTACTCTGATTTCCCATGGTTTCAAATGAGTTGGCCCCAAGGCTCCAAAGCGGAGGGGGGGAAAGCTTGGAATGTTTCTATATAGACCACGCAGTCTATTTTGAAAATTACACCAAGATTCTAAAGCATGCTTCCAGCGGTATTCACCTAACAAACTGCATCAAACCTGCGGTTCGAGGGCTGCGGCCGAGATGGATCCGCACTGCGCGAGCCGCGATCCCTCGCAGAATTCATTCTGGCCGCAACGGGTTACGCTGCTTGTCGCTGCATGCTTTTGCGTGCTGCTTTTGGGCATCGATTTGCACCGCATGTGCCCTCTGGGCGCCCTGTTGGGCCATCTTGAGGTTTTCTATGCCCGTGTTGGCCCTCCTTGCAATTTTTTTCGGGCACTTTCGGGCCGTCTTGGGGTCTTCCAAACCGCTCCCGCAACGATCTAAGCCGATCGCTTCACGCTTCCATTCGTACAACCGAAGTTAGACAGACATGGCTGGTCACTAGCACCGCGTCGCCACCCTGATAGTCGTAACATCGCCTGCAGCTGCTAGAAGACGGCGCAACTTCCGTACACTCACGCACACAAGGCCTCAAGGCGGCCCCGGCCGATTCCACAAGCGTTTCCAACCAACGTGACAGGGAGATGACAGGAGGTGGGCCGGCGGCAAAGAGCGAAACCCTCGGGATGGTCTTGAAGAAAACGTTGTCCTCGTGCCGGGTAACCGTTAGGCTGGGGTCCTGCGACATGGCAGACTCCCGCACCGGCGAGTTCCTGCCGTCGCATGCGCAGATGAGATCAAAAGGCGCGCCGCGTGCGGCAGCCTCTGGGGAAACCAACAGATTCCGATGCCGCTACTCCCCGACCTTTCCCGAGATGCGTTCTGACCAGACTTCCGAGGCGAAACCAGCCGTGGCGACGAGGGCCTGCCAGGAGGCCCGATATGGCAAACACGCGGCAAGGTATGGCGGTATCGATACTCCAGATTTCGTAATAAAGAGAGGGGGGTCTCATTTCGGGGGGGGTCTCTTCCAGGCTATCTTGGAGGGCCTGGGGGGGTCTGGGGACGATGTTTTGGAAGGTTCTCCCACGGGGGGGGGGGCTGAAATGGCTTGTCTTGGAGGGTCCAGACCCCCTCCCTTTTATTACGAAATCTGGAGTACCTTTTCCTCCCCTCCGAGCCTCGGCGCCCGCCGCGTCTGACTCGGGCGCGACCTCTCGGAGCAGGGCGAGTCGAGACAGCGGCAGCTCAGAATCGGTCCTTGGCCCTCTGCGGAGGCCCAAACGCACCAATTTTTTCCGAGTTGCGTCCGGCCGTGGCGACGACGGGGCCCTCCGAAGGCCCTCCTCCTCCTCCTCCTCCTCCTCCTCCTCCTCCTCCTCCTCCTCCCCCTCCTCCTCCTCCTCATCCTCCCCCTCCTCCAACTGCCGCTGTCTCAACCGGCTCTCCGGTGAGACCTCCAGGGATCGATGGCGGAGGTCCACCCCGACGACAGCGCAGCGGTGGTGGACGCGCACCACACCCGGCCAGGCGGCCTGGCACCCCTCGACGTGTTAGGAGGCAGGTCCTGGGAGTTATTCGTAAGAGCGATTCGGGCCGAGCACGCGAGATCGAGGGGCCACTCAATGGAACTACGCCGATGAAGCCCAGGATCGACCCCGATCAAGTCAGACTAAGCGGGAGCATGCCAGATGTAGGCTGGCTTTCGACCACGGACATGCCAGCGCCGATGCTGAACTCGCCATCGCTCGGACGTCCATTTCCCGTGCATGTTTCGGTGTCGTGTGTGTTGTTTTGGTTTTGTGTCTTTTCTTTGCGCTAGGTGATCCAGGATGCCCCAAAATGGTCCAGACTTTCTGGCGCTGGCCTCGCCGCGCCGAAAAACTCGCACACGTCCGAGCGATGCCGCGTGTCACTGCGCCGACCCTGCAGACGTGTTGCAGCGGGTTTTCGCTTGGATCTCTGTCAATGCAAAACCCCGAAACGCCGAGCGAAAAACGAAGTGAATGTCACGCGGATGTTTTGTAGTCTTCATGTCGGCCAGAGAAACGACTGCCCGATATTCCCCTCGAAATCCAGAACGAAACCCTTGAGGACAGTCCGGGCCCATCCCATTGCTTTCCGAGCGCACTCCGCTGTGCGAGGCTGGCGCCACGACACGTGAATGGAGCCTCCCAGGAGCGGCATCCCGAGATGTGCTCCAGCAGGCCCTGCACCAGCGCGTCGCGCGAGCCGAGCAGCGCGTCGAAGGGAAAGTCCTCGCGCCGCGCCATGCGGGCCCGCACTGCGCTGTCGGGCCCCGCGGCGCCGAGCCTCTCCTCGGAGGAACACATGACAACAACGCTGCGCAAACTACGTGTTCGACCATTGGTCCCTTGTCTGCTGGCCCCAAGCATCCGCCGATCCGGCGTGTGAGTTTCTGAGAGCGTGGGCTTGAGCTCGCTCAAGCTTCCTTCGCTCTGGAGGGGGGGGGGTCGGGGGGGGGACGCAAACGACGAAAACCGGCGAAAGAATTGACACGCGAGGGGGGGGGGGGGAAAGGAGAGAGGGGGGGGGGGGGCTCGCTCAGCTTCGCTCTGCAAGGGGGGGTGGACGCCAACGACAAAGAATTGACACGCGGAGGGGAGGGGGGGAAAGGAGAGGGGGGGGGGACAGGAGAGAGGCGGGGGGGACAAGAGAGAGGCGGGGGGGGGAAAGGAGAGAGGGTGGGGGCGGAGAGGGGGTGGACAGCGAGAGGAGGAAGGGGGGGACAGAGAGAGGGGGCGGGGGGGGGAAAGGAGAGGGGCAGTGGACAGGAGAAAAGGAGGGGGGCGGGGACAGAAGAGAGGGGGGCAGGGGGGGGCGGGACAGGAGAGAGGGGGGGAGGGGGAAAGGAGGGAGGGGGGGGGGGGAGAGATGGGGGGGGGAAGGGGGGGAGGGGGACAAGCTATGTGCGCTCGCGTCATATCTGACGTCCTACCCCTCCCTCCCATCCCTTACCATGGCGCTGATTTTCTCTATCCGCGGACGCGTGTCGTAGCGGACCTGTGGCTCCGCGCGCGCGTGCGTAGTGGGTGGTGGTGCGCGTGCGTGCGTGCGTGTGTGCGTGGTTGTGGTTATGGTTGTGGTTGTGGTGGTGGTTGTGGTTGTGGTGGTGGTGGTGGTGGTGGTGTGTGTGGTTGTGGTGGTGGTTGTGGTTGTGGTGGTGGTGGTGGTGGTGGTGTTGTGTGTGATGTGTGTGTGTGTGCGTGTGCGTGTGTGCGCGTGTGCTGTGGTGTGACGTGGTGTGGCGTCTTGGTGGTTTGGTGGTGGGCCAGGTGCGTGCGTGCGTGATGGCGGTGGTGGTGGTGGCGGTGGTGGTGTGTGTGTGTGTGTCTGTGTGTGTGCGTGTAGATTGTGTGCGTGTGTATGTGTGTGTGTGCGTGGTGCGTGCGTGCGTGCGTGTGTGTCTGTGTGCGCGCGTGTGATGTGGTGTGACGCGGTGTAGCGTGGTGGTGGTGGGTGGGGTAGTGGGGTGGTGGTGGCGGTGCGCGTGCGTGCGTGCGTGCGTGCGTGCGTGCGTTGGTGGGTGAAGTGGCGGTGGGCGGGGCGGGGCGCGGTGCGGTGGTGGCGGGCGGATGGGCGCGCGAGAAAGAGGCCCGCGCTGGGGCGAGAACGCCATCCTGAACGACGAAGGCAAAACACCGATCCGAAAATGAGACCCACGCTGCAGCGGGAGCACGATTCGGAACGAGCGGGGCCCGAAAATGAGGCCGGCGCCTCAGCGAAAGCAGCATTTTGGAAAAAATGCAGGCGAAAACCCAACTCCGGGGAACCCTGTGTGTAAAAAACAGTACGCGGGGGGGGGTCGGCTACTCCCATTCCGTCATCAGGGGAAGAGGGAGAGTAGTATTCATAATATTGAGTAATTGTATAGAGGGGGGGGGGGAACAGGAGAGAGAGGACGGGGGGAGGGAAAGGAGAGAGGGGGGGGGGACAGGAGAGAGGGGGAGGGGGACAGGAGAGAGGAGGGGAGGTGGGGAGGGGGGGCGGGGATCATCACCATCTCCATCACCATCACCATCACCATCCTCACATCACCATCATCATCATCATCATCATCATCATCATCATCATCATCATCATCATCATCATCATCATCATCACCATCACCATCACCATCACCATCACCATCACCATCACCATCACCACCACCACCATCACCATCACCATCACCATCACCATCACCATCACCATCATCATCATCATCATCATCATCATCATCATCATCATCATCATCATCATCATCATCATCATCATCATCCAGAGCGTCCTGGATCGGCGGCACTGGCCGGAGGCCATTGCAATATACACCATCACGTCGATTCCTCCTCCCTCCTCTACCCTCCTCTTCCTCTGCTCTTTCATGGGAGAGGGAGGGGGTGAGGGAGGTGGTCTTGGTGTGTATTTTTGGGCCGTGTATTGTTGCCCATCGGTGATGGACCGTTCTCGGCGGTCTTCGGCTGGTCTCCAGCGGTCTTCGACCGTTTCTCGGTGGTCTTCTTAAGGACTTCGACGGTTTCCGGCGGTCTTTGGCGGTTTCCAGCGGTCTCTGGCGCGAAAGCTGGATGGTTGCGTTCAACGAGGGGTCCACGATCGAACACCTAGCGCAAACAGAAAATGTCAGAGTTTCGCGTGGATTTGTTGGATCGGCATTGGAACTGCGACGAAGCCAAAACAGAGACAACATCGGAAAAGGATAGACCCGGTATCTCGCAGATCTGGAACTTCTGGAAGATCTTGATCGCGGAATGCATCCCTACCCTTACCTAGGCAGGGTGGCAAGGGCCTGGGGGGTCGCCGCGTCGCAGCCGAAAGCGGCAGCACAAGTGTAGAAACGACGGCCGATGGAACGTTACATGACGCTGCCCTCTCCAAGCACACATTGGTCCCGAGCGCACGCGCACTCGAAGCGGCGGAATGGCCGACTCTGCGTCGATCGATATCGAACTAGACCAGCTCGTTCGGAGGTGCGCCGACAGAGGCACATATTCAAGCGCTGGGGGTCGACGCTTTCGTGAGGCGAATGCGAACAAATCTGGCGCTAATGCCAGCGCAGAAATATCAACAAATCGTCATTGCTCGATGCAGAGACAAAACAGCTCCGAAGGCTGCGTGCGGTCACCAAAGGCGTCCACCTGGAAAACCTGGTTGGGTCCAGGTATGGGCTGGGGGGTACCGCGTCGACGCCGCGTCGACGGTACCCCCGGGGACATGCCCGTCCCTGGGCGAGATGGCGTTTGGCCGAAACCGCTCTCGGGCGCACGGTTTGCCCCATAGAGCCCTCCCCAACGCGGCCGCTGGGGCCCCCCAAGAGCGCGAGATTGCAACGTCGCTCCTGTGGGCAAGCTCGAACGTAGTGGTCGCCAGGGCAGAGAAGGGACCTTCTCTTTTTGTTGTCGAATGGGGCAGGCGCCGCCACTCCGATGCGGCCTCCAGCCGCGCTCGCACCCCTGGGCCCCCAGGCGCCCCTTAACAAAAGTCAGCGCGTGCTGCTGCAGCCGAACAACCAGACACGAAATGCGTCGATGCACCTTGCTGCCCGGGTGCTGCACCAACGCGCGCGCGCGGCAAGCCGAGCGGGGACAGCGGCAAGCGCCCAACCCCGCGGGCGGTCCCCTCTTCACCCTGGTTGACCGGTAAGGGGTGTGCTTCGGGCTACTGAATGGAAGCATCTGGCGCCGCGATCTTCGCAGAGCGTTCCAGAGTGCTCTGAGAGCGCTCCCGAACGCTCTGGAACAGGTCGTCCCCGTCCCAACCCCGCCCGAGGAGCCCCCTGACTGGCGAGAGAAGCGGGCCATGGGGCGGCGGAGGCGCCGCCATGGGGCCCAGCGAAGATCCAAGAGATCCGTGCGGAGCTCTGAACATCTGTGGTGATACATGTTTTCTGGTATCGACGACGCCGTGCCTTGCCTTGCCTCATGGGAGACCCTCGTCGCCATGGCTGGATTCGCCTCGGAATCTCGGTCAGAACGCACCCTGGTTCGCCGAGCGCCTTACACTACTCGCAAAGTGCCTACTTGCAAACGTCCGAAAAACACCTGTCTGCTCTGACGCAATTCATCGCAGGTCCCCAGCGGGGGATCCATGCCATCTGCGAGTAGTCACTTTGCGAGTGGTGGAGCGCGCTCGTCGACTGGTGGGGAGCTGCGGCATCGGCGTCTCTGGGTCTCCCCATCTCCAGCGCCCGCATGCCGCGGGCCTCCACGGCGGTCGGGTACGAGCGCTCGCGGCTGAAGACGGGGACACATACCATGATATTAGCATGACAACTCGGAGGTCCGCGCGGCTACTTCGGATCGGCGCTGGACCCCCCTCACCGGCGAGCGGAGCGCTCCAGGGGCGGCGCCGCAGGCGCCGCCAGAGGGCTCCAGCACCACGCCGAGAGATCTGCGCGGACCTCTGCGAGCTTTCGTGCCTCTGTCACTGTCTGCTCCCCGAGACGAGGCCGCGCACCAGCGGCGCGTCCAGCCGCTCGAAGACGTCCACCTCTGGAGGCCTCTTAGATAGGGTCGGAGTAGATGGGTTCGGAGGATCGCGCCGCATCGCCGATACAGCGGCGATGCATCGGCGGCGATGTACCGGCGATGCACCTGCGATGCATCGTCGACGTCGGCGATGCATGGGCGACGTCGACGTGAAGCAAATTAGGCTCCACATCGAGCCGCATCGACGATGCATCGGCGATGTGGCGCCATCCTCCGATCCCACCCATTCCGACCCCACCTAAGAGGCCTAGAACCCAGGAGAGCCCAGAATCGAATCGGGAATTCGGATCGGCGATCGACATGAACCAGATCGGCGGAAGTCGGCAGCCGAGTCGGGAAAAGTCGAATCGGCAGGAAACTCGGAAGGCTAGCATATGCCTGCGTCCGACGAAACATCGCAGCCCAAATCGGCATCCCAGGTCGAATCGAAGCTGGGGCATCGAATTGAGGGCCTAGAACCTCTTGGCGATGCGCACAAAAGGGGTGGAGGGAGGGGGTAGGGCTTCTTAGAAGGAAGGTTGCTTCTAAGCAGGCGCTGGCCTTACATCTATAGACAAGGCCCGCGCCTTCTGAGAAGCAGGGATGCTTTCAAGAAGCCCTCCCCCCTCCCCCCCTCTGTGCGTTGCCGAGACCTCTGAGCATCGTTTCTCCGATCCCTGTCCCGCCCGAAATGGGTACGGAAAGAATGGGCACAATGCCCAACAACAAATGCTGTCCCAAACCCTCAGCGGCCGCTGTTGGGCAGGCGGCCTTCTGTCTCGAATGGACACAGGCCGCGGCGGCGTGGACAGCGAGTCCTGTTCAGAATGAACAAGATCCGCTGCTGGGCATCGTACTCCAGATTTCGTAAGGAAGGGAGGGGGGTCTCATTTCGGGGGGGGGTCTCTTCCAGGCTATCTTGGAGGGCCTGGGGAGTCTGGGGACGATGTTTTGGAGGGTTCTCCCACGGGGGAGGTCTGAAATGGCTTGTCTTGGAGGGTCCAGACCCCCTCCCTTTTATTACGAAATCTGGAGTACCCATTCCTTCCGTGCCCACCTCGTTCGTGCAGAGATAAAGGGCTGGGGAGGGGGACCGGCTCAACGACACCGACCCTCTGCGCGTGGCCGACGCCTCGTGCCCCTGGCGCGCCAGCCCGATGGCGCAGCCCAGGCCCGCGGGCCCGCCTCCCGCCACCCTCACGCGCAGCGGCGCGGGCCGGCCCCCCTCGGCGCCTGCTCGGGGGGGGGGCGGCGCTCCCGAGGCCCTTCGGGTGCCGCCTTCGGCCCTCGGCGGGCTCCCTCTCTCGGGACGCGTCCCCCCAGGCCCCCTCGGGCCACGACACAACTCCCGGCGGTGGGTTTGTCGCAACTTTCGTCGGCCTCAAGGATCCCTCACCGGCCCTCGGGACCGCCAAAACTTGACCCAGGATGAAAAACCGGTGCTGGGGAATGCGTCGAGACTTTTGGGGGTCGACGTCGTGAAAAACTCAAGACGTCGGGGGGCTGGGCCCGTGGCCGCGCATCGCCGAAGGACATCCTGGGGGGGTGCTCGGAGTGCCCCGAACGGCCGCCATGGACCCGAGGTAGAACCCGAAGGCCAGATCAGGGCGTTCCGCGATGTTCACAGGAGCCTGGAACGGGGCCCAGAATGTGAGCGTTTTTCTATTCGGCGTTTCGACATTTGGGCGGAAGGGGGTGGGGGGGGGGTCTGGCTCCCGACCTCTGCTGAATGCGACTGTTTGCAGCAGTGCGTCGTATGGGGAGGGACTCCACCTGCTCGAAACAGACGCCAAAAACAGCCACGATATACTCCATAGGGAGGGGGAGGGGGGGGTTACGAGGGCCCGCACCGATCGGCAAAACAATGAATAAGAAAACGATCACAATGGGGTAGTCTTCTGGGCGCTGCTTAGAAAGGGGGGGCGATGAACCGGGGAGGCGGGAGAAACGTGCACCGTAAGGTGAAAGGGCACAAAGGGCACAACTGTCCTCCCCCTCCCCCTTTATCGCTCCTCTATAGTACGCAACGCCTGAGCCTCCTGAGAACCATGATACCCAAGCGCCGCGAATTCTCACACTGGGCATTTTCGCGCAGTTTCGGACCCCCCCGGGACCATCACAGGTCAATCCGCCTAGAGAAGTCCATCCGAAATCTGGGTCCAGAGCTCCGGTGGCGGTGTTTGGCCGCGAGGTTGCGACGTTTTTCTTCCCCGCGTCGGATCTTGGGGGAGGGACTGCGAGGCGGGACTTTATCAATATCCACCGCCTGGGAACCGACGTCCTGGTGTCCCAGCGGGCGGTGGATATGGATATGAATATAGCTGGGCCCCCAGGGGCCAGAGTATATCCATATGAACCGCCTGACGACGACCCCGACAATTGACCATCCAGGCGGTGGTCACGTACAATGCGGGCACTGCCGAAAGAAACCCTCACAAGAAACCCAACCCTGAAAACCCGCGCGCGAAGTGCATCGGAGGGGCCTGGAGCACTCTGAACGCAGCAGCTCCTCCCACGGCCGCGGGAAGTCGCCGCGCAGCGCGCGGAGCGAAGATGCCCAGGCTGCCCTGACGAAAAGCATACAGTTTCTTGATGCGCGCCCCCCACTGCAGAGGGACAGGCCCGACTTCCCCATCGGGGGCGCGCAGACATGGATTAGCGATCCATGGATTTGGCGTTAAATCGGGCGTGTGCCCCCACAGGGGGATTTTGGACGAAGATCCAACCATAGCCAGACAGTACACCCAACATGCCCAAACATCACTCCCGCCTCGGAGAGGCGTGGCCTTCTGAGCAGGCGGGGGGCTTCCTGCGGGGGCGTCCACGAGACAGGCGTCTAGGACGGGGGGGGGGGCGCAGATCACGGCCCGAGGCGCGCGCACGTCCCCAGGGGGTGGGGCAAGGGACGCGTTGACGTGAGACGAGGGGCCATGGTATCTCGGGGCGAGGAGGAAAGGGGGTGGGGGGGGGGAGGAGGAGGAGGAGGAGGAGGGCGGAGGAGGAGGAGGAGGAGGAGGAGAGAGGAGGAGGAGGCGGAGAGGAGGAGGAGGAGGGGAGGGGAGGAGGAGGAGAGGAGGAGGAGGGAGGAGGGAGGAGGAGGAGAGAGGAGGAGGAGGAGAGGGAGGAGAGGAGAGGAGGAGAGGAGGAGTAGAGAGGAGGAGGAGGGGAGGAGAGGAGGAGAGGAGGATGAGGAGGGGGAGAGGAGGAGGAGGGGGAGGAGTCGGAGAGGAGGAGGAGGAGGAGGAGGAGGAGGGAGGGAGAGGAGGAGGAGGAGGAGGAGGAGGAGGAGGAGGAGAGCGTGGTCTCCCCTTGTCATCGCTCCCCGTTGGTCGCACTCGGTTCTTTCGAGAGGGGGGGGCCTCTCAGAGGCCCTCCCGTCCTTCGAGCAGGGCTCCCCAAACCGGGGGTGGGCCCCGGGCCTCCCCACATAGAGGCCCCACCAACCCGCCTTCCGAGACGGCGGCACCCCTCGCGCTGACCCCTCTTGTGGGGGCCTCCCAGAATGGATCCGGGCATATCTCGCCATCGCTCGGACGTCCATTCCCCCTGAATGCTTCGGTTTCGTGCGTACATTCTGTTTGCAAAATGGCCCAAAATGTTCCTCCATGGTCTAGGCCGGTACAAAGTGCACACGTCCGAGCGATGGCAAGAGATGGGGCCAGAGGATCACGCCGCATCGCCGATGCATCACCGACGTCGGCGCAAATCGAACCGCATCGCCGATGCATTGGCGTTGCGGCGCGATCCTCAGACCCCCTCTGCTCCGACCCCACCTGGGGGGCCTGGATGGTGTGCGCGCCGCCAGCCTGCAGCGCTCTCCATGGCGTCCCGGAGGCCCGCTGCAATGCGCGGGCGCGCTGGGCAGGGCGGAGACGGCGCGAGCTCCGCAGGGAAAGGCGCCCGCGGACCCGATAGGCCCGCTCGGCGCGCCTTGGCGCGCGCCTTCGCGCTCGGCTCGGAGCGCCGCAAGGTTCGCCGCGGGGTGCTCCGAGGAGGGGCCGTGCGCTCCGGAGGCAGCCTTGAGATCCTGGCGTCGCAAGTCTGTCGCAACGGGTGGTTGCGAATTCCTTCGGGCCCCCGGACCAGCACAGATCGACCTGGCTGGAAAAATGCCGCACAAGGAATGGGTCTAGGGCTCGGGTCGTGATTTCTGGCGACGATGAGGATTTGATGCTCCAATTGGCGAGCGTTTTCTTATTCGGCGTTTCGACATTGAGCGAAAAGGGGGGGGGAGTCTGGCTCCAGACCTCTGCTACATGCGATTGTTTGCAACAGTGAGTCCTACGGCGAGGGGTTCCACCTGCTCGAAACAGGCGCCCACAAACAGCCACGATCTATTCCATGGGGAGGGCGAGGGGGGGGGGGTGCGAAGGCCCGCGCCGATCGGCTACACATTGAATACGAAAACGACCACCTGAGGATATGATGTCCCCATCGTGCGGGCAATACTTGTGTCTATATCCACTGCAGTGTGGAGTTCCGGGCTCCCTTCCCAAGAAACCCGAGGCGCACTGGATATGGATAAATTTGCCCCCTAGAGGCTCGATCGTTATCCATATCCAGTGCGCCTCGGCCTTGTGGTGCCGCTTCCCAAACAGTCCAAGAGGCGCTGGATATGGACATGAATCTTGCCCGCACATCGTCTCGCAACAGCATCGGGTCTCAGCGAGCCAGACTCGGCGGGGACGGTCGGCGCGGCGCCACGGCGTGCCCGCTCGGCGCCTGGACCCAATGGCTCGAGCCTGCGAGAGCGGATGCGGAGGAGGAGGAGGAGGAGGCTGGCTGGCTGAGTGGGGAGGAGTAGGGAGGCGGAGGAGGAGGAGGAGGAGGAATAGGGAGGCGGAGGAGGAGGAGGAGGAGGAGGAGGAGGAGGAGGAGGAGGAAGAGGATGCTCCATTTTTTCTCTCGGGCTGGCCAGGTGGCGAGGCTTCGGAGCCCTGCAGGCGCAAGAGGCTTCCGCCAGCGGATCTCCGATCCGCCGGCGGCCACGGACTCGGCTGAAATCTCTAGGACACATGCGAACACAGAGGGAAAGCGAGGGGGGAGGGAAAGGAGCTTGAGCGAACGTCAACGGAAGATAGATCATCCGTGTTGCACTGATATTTGGATCGGGCAGGCGGCCAGTACACGTCACAAAGGAGCAAAAATGTTCGGATAACGATTTATGCTCCCTTTTTTCTCTCAGGCTGGCCAGGTGGCGATGCTTCGAAACTCTGCGGGCACAAGAGGCTCGCAGACACTGCTGGCAGATGGGCGCCCGCCCGCCTCCCAGCCGTCCCAGACGAGGCTCGGCCCACTGCACCGATGCCAGGAGCTTCTCGCCCGCGCTCAGGGAACCGCCCTCCATGAACATGATCTCCATCAGGCCGGAGGTGACCATGTCCCACTCTTCCTCGGCGCGCGGCTGGTAGCCCCCCCGAGTCACGCAGTACCTCCGAAGGGCGGCCAAGTAGAGGGAGTACTGGGCCTGCGTCTGCGCCGAGACCGAGGCCCGCCTGAGCAAGCTCATCTGGGCCTCCGGGGCCCGCGCAGCAGCCAGCTCGGCCGCGCGCTCCACCCGCAGCCGCGCAGCCGCTGCCCGTTGGCCCCCAATATCCGGGCAGGCCAAGGCCGGGCGGGGGGCCGATCCCGGCCCCGGCGGCAGCGGCGGGCGCCCTGCGGGCGTCCTCGACCTGTCGGACCTGCCGCGCGCCAGCATCGCGGCCCTCGTCGGCGGCGGTCGCGAGCTCGCGTCGCAGGCCAGCGAAAAGTCACTGGGGGCCAGGTGGCCCCGCGAAGGCCCTTCGGCCGGGTTGAGCTCCGACGCGATCCAGCGGGGGCGCAGGAGGCTGCGGGTCGCCAGCAGCTTGAGGCGCCCAACCGGCGGGTCACGGAGAGCATGCCATCGGCAGAGATCACCCCTTCGTGGCGGGAGCTTCGAGCCCAGGTTGCCGACGGAGCGCGAGGTGGCGGACCCCGTGCAACAGAGCCTTCGCCCGGCATGGATGTCGAGGGCCTTCCAGGCCGAACTCCCCAACACCTCCCAAACACCTGGCCGAACTCTGTCGAGGGTCACTTCTCTCTCCCGAACACCTTCAAGGGGGCCCTCAGGACGTCCGGTGGGGCATCCCCGAACTTCCCCAAATGCCGGCGGTCGAACTCGCTCTCGCGTCGATCGCCCTGGGAACTCGCGAGCTCCATCAAGATCTGGTTGTCGGGCCCCCTCTCGTCCACACGCAGCTGCGCAGCGGCCGCGGCGAATGCCCGATCCCGGGGCGACAGCCCGGTCTGGGCCGCGCCCCGGGCCCTGGCCCGCTCGGAGCGACAGCTGGCCTCCTTGACCAGTTCGACCAGCGGACGACCTCGAACGGCTCCGAGACCTCAAGGCGAAGCGTCCACCACGACGACGTCCGGACAGGTGCCCGCGGAGGTGTTGACCCAGATGAGCGAAGAGATCCGGTCCCAGGTGTCGAGTTCCTTCCGCGCCGAGGCCCAGAAGGCCCGGGCCGGGCGACCAGGGCCCCTCCGGGCCGCCTCGCAAAACCTATAGCAGTACTTAGAAACACTCAGCGACTCTCGCCTGCAGAGGCCGATGAAACACAAGTGGCCCAGGAGGCGCTCCAAGTCCCCTCCCGAGACCGAGGCCCGCGACAAAAGACCCCGGATGGCGAGCCGAGCCTTCCAGACACGCTCGGGGGTCGGGCGGAAGGTGCGCCGCAGGCAGTCGATTCCCCACCACAGCACGACCGCCCGATCACACGAGACAGATTCTTTATGGAGCGGCAGGCCCCGAGACTCGAGGGTCGTCGACGAAACTCCCGCCAGGCGCTCGCGAACTGATTAATCGCTCGTCGAAATCACTGCGTAGTTATCTGCGCACTGTGCACGAGGAGAGGAGGCGAGGGGGGGGCGGAGGGGGGCCGTTGGCGAGCCGGGCCGAAGCGGGGGATCCGCCCTCCTCGGCTGATCGCTCGTGGATGGCCTGGCACCGCCAGAGGGCCCAGGACCAGCCCATAAGCAGGGCTCGCACGAATGTGATCCAGGCGTCGGGGGACACCCGGACTTCACAGACGTGGGCGAGGCCTGCCCGTGAGGCCCGAATTTTACGCAACCCGATAAAGCGGCGGAGCTCCTCCGGAAGCTCCGCGTGATAAAACGCGTCTCTACCTGTCCGATAACAACGGGTTGGCCGAGCGCTTCCTCGTCGTGGACGCGGGCGAGGGCGTCGCCCGACGCGAGGCTCACAGGGACTGGCGGCTCGAAATGCTGGTTCGCCCGTCGACAGTCGACGACCAGCCGCTGCCCGCCGCTTCCCCTCTCCACACAGAAACAATCGACCACCTCAGCGACGCTCTCGAGAGACGGCTCGGCAACGCCAGCGTCGATCAGCCGTCGAGCGAATTCGCCGTAGAGGGTGGGGGGCGAAGGCGAGGGTCGCCGCAAGGCTGGGCCGGCCCCGAGCCCTTCAATCTCGACCGAGCCTCATCGATATAGGCAGAACTTGCGACTCGACAAATCGCGCAACAGTTCTATCCCCGCCGGATCCCCAGAGCCGGGCGAGCGGGGTCGGCGCCGACCCAGCTGCCGGAAGGGAAACGCGGGCGGCTTCATAGCCCGCGGGGCCTCCGCCCACGTCGCGGGGGAGGCCGAAGCGCAGCGCCTGAAGGGCTGCCGCCTGCGAAAGATCACCTGGGGAAGCACCCAGGGGGGAGACGGAGCACTCAACGTGCTCGAGCACGCGCTGCTGCCCAAGGCTCAGGTCAGGAGGTGCCCGAGCCCTCTCGCCGCCGCCGTAGAGCGAGCTGAGGCCCGCCGAAAGCTTCGCCATGCCGGCGCAGCCGACGGCCGGCCCTCTGCTAGCAGCCCCGCGAGAGCCTAGGTGCCGGTGGCTCCCGAGAGGCCAGGAGCTCCATGAGGAACGGCAGCAAGTCCCTCCCCGCGCTCCTGTCAAAATTCCCCGGCGGCGCGGCGGCGCACCGAGCATCCCCAGTCATGCGTGAACCTCCCCCTCCAGACCAGAGGGGCGTCTGGCGGGGGCGGTCGGCCATCGCCCCTGGCCCGGCTTCTTCTTGCCCAACGCCTCCCTGGCGTCGCGCGCATTCACGAGGCCCTTGGCGAGAGCGGCATCGCGTTCCAGCTCCTGCTTGGCGCTCATGGTGCACCAGCGGTGCCGGCGAGATCATGAGCCGCGTCTCGGCCCGGGCGGTGGCGCCGAAGGCGGCCTAGGTCGACCGCCGGTCGAGCCCGCAGCCCTCTCCGGGGCCTGTCCCTGTGCATCGTCTGGAGCCGACGGAACATCAGTTCCGCCGACAACAGGTTGGCGGCGTCGACCTGGTCGTGCTGGAGCAGGGCAGCTCGGACACGGCGGGATCGGAGGCGGCTGACTCAGCCACGAAGCGAGGCCAACGGATAGTTGGGTGACGGCGCCGGCCGCCCACGGGGGCCAGGCCACGGCCCTGTGGGGAAAAAACTTGAGCGAAACGTCAACGGAAGATAGATCATCCGTGCTGCACTGATCTTTGGATCGGGCAGGCGGCCAGCACACGTTACAAAGGAGCAACCGTGTTCGGAGAACGATTTAGGAGGAGGGGGAGGAGAAGGAGCAGGACGAGGAGGAGGAAGAGGCTGGCTCAGCAGAGAATGGAGTGTAACGCGGAAGGAATAGGAGGATGCTGTTTACCAGAAGGAGGGGCAAAGGAAGTCGGGGACAGAGAAAGAGGGAGAGAGAGAGAGAGGAAGCGGGAAAAGAACTGTGGACGATGAGGACGATCATAATGATAAGAAGATGAGGGGCACAACGGGAAAGTAGGATGAGTAAGGTATTGGATCAAGACGGCGAGAACAAGACATAGGAGCAGGATTAATTATGAGGTGATGGATCGGCAGGGGACAGGTGGAAGGGAAGGGGGGCGAGAGGGGGAGTGAGGACAACAGAGGAGGGGGGGACAGGGTATGTAGGAGAGGAGGAGGGATAATGCGAAGAGTGAGGAGGGAGAGAGGGAGGACGATGTCGTCCTCGTCCTCCGCATCCCAGTCCTTTTCATCCTCCCCGTCCGCCTCCTCCTCCTCCTCCTCCTCCTCATGATCATCATCATCATCATCATCATCATCATCATCATCATCATCATCATCATCATCATCATCATCATCATCATCATCATCATCAGCATCAGCATCAGCATCAGCATCAACATCATCATCATCATCATCATCATCATCATCATCATCATCATCATCATCATCATCATCATCATCATAATCCTGCTTTCCTCCACCCGCTATTCTTCATTTCTCTTCTCTTCCTCTTCCTCCCTCTCGTATCCCTTCCAGGGCTGTCTCACTCTCAATTGCCTCGCCCCATCGTTTGCTCCTGTCTTCTCAGGCCTCCCTCGCCCCCTGTCCCTCGCCCGATTGTCCCTGATCCCTCGCCGCGTTCTCCGAATTTCTCCTTTCACCGCATCGCTCATGTTTGTTGTTCCCTCCTGCCTCCTCCCGTCTCCCGCCCGCCGCCCCCTTTCATCCTGCCCGATTTCTCCTCCCATCAACGAAAGATGATATCAAGATGATCTGCACATGGAAAAATACACGGTCGATACTAGTCGGATCAATTCCAGCTTGCTGTGCCATCCCACTCTCAGACATTCGAAGCCAGGATTTGTCACGACGCGGCCCCCAGAACTCTTGGCCCCATCCCAGTGGCAATCTTTTGGCGCGGGCAATTGTTCAGTTGACGCCCCTGGGCCAACAAAAAGACCTCCACAGCCTTCAGAAGCTCATATTTAGGAGAAACAACACGACAACCGTCGTGACTTGGTCACGACGCTGGGGATGGGGGCCACGATTTGCCGTGTTGAGCGCCTCCCCGCTCATCCCTTCGGACCTGTCTTGGAGCGCGTTCTGAAGAGGGCTTCGGTGCGAATGCGGCCGTGGCAACAGGCCCTCCTGGGCCCCCCAAAAGCGAAAACCACTCAAGATGTCACTCCTCATACTTATCAGGACTCAGGACTGACGGCCTCAGAATTCTTCGAACGCGCCCTCCCCCCGTCCCCCAGCAGCGGTCGCTGCTGGGGGAGTTGACTCCCGCAGGCCGCGCACACGAGAAGCCACCCCAGCGAGAGGTAACTCTACGCAGATGCGGAGCCCGATCTTCTCCACGCCGATGGCGCCGACACATCGGCTACGTCGCCTGTACATCGCCGACGAATCGCCGATGCATGGGCGACGCATTGGTGATGCACTGGCGCGATCCTCCGACTCGATCTGCTCCGGCCATCTCGGAGGCCTAGAGCACCACAGGTCACCCCGGCGAGCTGTAGCTCTTACATGTGGCCGATGCTCCGTTCCCTCCCGTCCGCCGCCAGGGCGGCCGCAAGGGCCTTTGTCGTCGCTGGCCTCCGTGGCGAAGAGCATGCCCGCGCTGCACAGGGGGCCTCTTTTCCACAAGTTGGGGGGGAGGGATGGGGGGGGGGGCAGTGGAGCAGGCAGACCAGACGAAAACTAGATGGCACAACCTCCGCCATGCCGGGCGCCTCGGCCTCCTCAGGCCGAGCGCCGCCGAGCTCCGACAGGCGCCGTCGCAGGAAGAGGGGCGGGAGGCAGAGAGGGAAGGAGACCGAGGGGGCGGCACGTGCCCTCCCCGCGTGGTCGGCTGCAAAACGGCCCCGCCTGGCCGTCGCTTGCGGCGCAGCCGACGGCACCGGGCCGCATCGCACAGCCCAGATCTCGAGACTGCAGCGGATAGAGACTGCAGCGGATAGAGGCAGGCAAGTTCGGTGTCGCATCGACTCGATCGAACGGGGATGGAGCCCAGGCGGGTGCTGCTCTGGGAGGCCTCGCACAGGGCCGTCCCCATGGCGGCGCCCTCCACACTGCCAGAGGAAAGGGGGTGGGGGTGCCACGCCCTAACGTGGCGTCGTGCGACGGGCTCCTGCCGTTGACGACGCTGGTCGAAGTATTCTGACCCTAGAGGACTAAACGACTATATACATCTCAAGTTCCGAGGGGTCCGCGCGAACTTTTTGGATTCGCGCTGGGCCCCCCCCTGGAACGGCTGCAAAAACGGTCTTCCCGGAAGAATAAACATACTCCCTGAATAAAGCTCAGCGCACCAAATAGAAAAACAGGCTGCTTCCCTGAAGGAAAAAACATGTTCCAGGAGCTCCGCTTTAGTAACCACGGGTTTGCCAGAGATCACCCGGCTTCTACTCACATTGGTTTAACGAAAAAATCAGCGCCTGCGGCGGGCTCATCGTATCAGGTGTGACACTTTGGTACTGTTGTTCGTTCCTCGGGACACCTGCGCGAACCGTCTGATGTCGAGCGATCTCCGTGTTCGTGCCGTGACGGATCGCACGCTGAGCTCTGATATCACGTCGGTCGGCCAACGTTTCGGGGTCCACCACAAGGGGGGGGACCCTGACGGGGGGGGGATTTCGATCCGCTGGCGCATCGAATCTCCGAAAAACGATGCCCCCCCGCGCGCCCCGATTGTCGACACCTCTCGGGTTCCGGCGGCGGCCGGAGACCTCGTTTTGCACCGTCTTTGTGCTGTTTGATGCGCCAGCGGACCGAACTCCCCCCCCCCTGTGGCACCAGCCCCTCTTTTTCGCGAGGTCCCGAACCTTGCACGATCGCAGCTTGCTTCCCGACAGCGCGGATCGCTCGGCGTTGGCCGACCCTGGGCCACCGCCGTCGTTCCAGGTCGAACGCTAGCGCCGGGACCGCCGCCGCGTTAGACACAGCGCGGGCCTACCGTGTGGATCCTGCGCCGTGGATGATGTGAGCGATTTGTTATTCGGCGTTTCGACATTGGGCTTAGGTCGGGCGTGTCCTCCGACAAGGGGATTTTGGACGAAAAACAGAAAATCCGCCGATCTGGCGTGTGAGTTTCGAAAACCCTCAGAACAGCCTGAGCCTCAATTCCTGAACTTCAGCTTTACTGGGGGGTGGGTGCCGGGGTGGCTCTGCCGGGGCAGGAGCTTGTTTTTTTATTCAGGCAAGTTTACTTGCATGGCGTTCGCCCCCCCCCTCTCCCCCCCCTCTCCCCCCCCTCCCCCCTCTTCAAGCGAATACTAGCGTGCAAGTGCCTTTCGACTTGCGTGATTTCCGCGCCCCCCCCCCCGGGCTTGCTTCAGGCTCAGCCCCCCCCCCCGTCCATGCAAGTAAACTTGCCAGAGTCTAAGAAAAACAAACAGGCTCTAGGGGGGAGTGGGGGGGTCCTGGGGCAGAGTCGGAGCTCCAGCTCACTCCGGGACGGCCCCCTCGCCCAGGAGGGCCCCAACATGGGCCAGGAGGGCCCCGAATCGCCGAGCGATCGCTGACAAGACGCCCAAGATGTCCCCAAGACGGCTCCAGGAACCTCCAAGATGCCCTCAGAAGCCCTGGAAAAGAGGCCTCCCCAAAAAGGCCCAAAGAAGCAAACAGTGTCCCATTCCCTGGGGAAACGTACAATTTTAGCATACTCGCCTCTAAGGTTTTCAAAGCGACGCAGACGCCACAAGAGAGCCCCAGAACGGCCCACGAAGCCGCCAAGAGGGCTCCAAGACGGCCCAAGAAGGGCCCGAGATGGCCCAGGAGGCCCCCGGAAAGGCCCAAGAGGCCCCAGGACGGGCCCAAGAGGCGCCTGAGAGGGCGCCCGGACAGCGGACAAAGTGCCGAAGACGGCCCATGATGCCGCCAACTGGCCCCCAAAGGCTCCCGAGAGGCCTGAAAATGCCCCGGGAAGCTTCCAACTGGCCCGAAGAGGCCCCCGGAAGCCCCGTAAAAGGCCCCCAGGAATCAGAACATGCATCCAAGACGCCTTCTAGAGGCCTCCAAGGTGCCTCCAAGACCCCCCCCCCCGAGAAGCCCCCAACCGGCCCGAGTGCCTCCACGGCGCATATACGTCTGAACACAAGCGCTGCCATACAACAGGTTCTTCCACGCTTTCACAATTTCTCCCGTCATCGGTGTCCTTCACATACATGATCTCAGAAGGGCCCGCAGGGGAGCACGCGAAGGACCCCGATACTACAAAAACACCATGGTTCCCAGCAGAGACCAGTGATGCACAAAGCTCCACAAAGACTTGCGACGCAGACAGCTCTAGCACACAAATTTTCCGAGAGTGCGCCAAATCGGCGAGGTGTCAACCCAAAGAGGGCCAACACCTCGCCCCAAAAGAGGCTTTCCAACAACCGCCGAACATCTCCAACAACCGCCGGACATTTCATCCTCGTCATGCTCCTCCTTCTCCCCCTACTCTTCCACTTCCCGTTTCCTCCTGCTCCTCCTCATCCTCAGCATCCTGCTGCTCCTGGCCCTCCTCCCTCCACCCCCCTCCACCCCATCGTGACCCATCTCTTCCTCATCCTACTCCGTTGCCTCCATTCCCAATTCTCATCATCATCCTCACCGCTCGCCATCGTCGCCGGTCATGACCATCATCGTGCGCTCCTGGCAGCACCAGAAGCGTCCCGGATCGGCGGCACTGGCCGGAGGCCACTACAATTCCCCCCGAATGCCCCAAACAGATTCAAAACTGGTCAAAAAATCGTCCTCGGACTAAAATATCCCCCCTGTAGAGGGACAGGCCCGACTTAACATTGGGCGGACGGGTGGGGGAGGGGGGGGGGTCTAGCTCCGGATCTCTGCTTAGCGCGACTGTTCACAAGCCTTGCCTGTGGGGGAGACTCCACCTGCTTGAAACAGGCGCCAAAAACAGCCAAGATCTACTCCATGGGGGGGGGGAGGGGGGGGTCCAGGGCCCGCGCCGATCGGCAAAACAACGAAGAAGACAACGATCACACATCATTTCGAGTATGTCTGGGCACCTCGCCGATCCTGGCCAAGCCCGTCCTGGGCGCATGATCGGCTCACATACAAGCTTGCCTCAAGGAGGATGAGGACGAGGAGGAGGAGGAGGAGGAGGAGGGCCCGCGCCGACCGGCAGAACATGGAATCAGAACACGATCGCTGTGTTCTGCGCGCCCCAACGGGAGCCACGAGGGCTTTCCGCCTCGCGCCGCCGCCACTCGCGCGCGTTGCCGCCGTCGGGGGCGGCGCGAGCCTGCCGCAGGCTGAGCGGGAGTCCTTTTCTGATGCTCCCGCTGGCCTCTGCGCTCCCATGGGAAGCACGTGGACATGCTAAGACCATATGTCCTCCTTGGAGGCGCGCGTCCGACCCGAGCATGTGGTATACCCATCTTGTAGCACATCGCTTCCCGAGCGGCGTGACCAGAGAGCGCCGGCCACGACGCATATACTACAAGACTTCTCGGTGCGCGCGTCGCCCATGGGGGGGCGACACACACATAATAGAAGCATGAGCATGTTGGCGTGACGCCGATCCCAAGCGACCCATACGTGTGTGCGAGTAAGCAAGCAAGTCGACATGCCCCCCCCCTTGAGCAGGACGAGGAAGCGCCAGCCCCATTCGAATAGGGGGACGACTGCAGAATCCATGCGCTCCAAACTTGGTGTTCCCGCCGACTAATGCGGGATGAAGATTAATACAACAAATGAGAGAGAACGATTAAAAAACATAGCTTTCTGCGTTTTCTGCACAATTTTCTGACTGGAGAAGAACGTTTAATAAAACAAAGCCCGCGGCCGGTTTTTTCTAATCGTCATCCCAGGCGCCGCCGCGTGAACACGACCCCCGGTCATTTATTAATCGTCATCCTCATTACACAAGGACCACGTAACATGTTGAACATGTTCGTAGTTCCATGGGGCAGGATACGCACATGTGTCGTAGATTCGGCGGGGAAATCAAGCTCGGGGTAGATCAGTTCTGCAAACGATCCCCCGCTCGACCCCTGCATCCGACGGCAGAATGTTTGTTCCAGTGCGCGGCCTCAGGAGGTCCCGACCCCTTCCCCGGGGGCATTCCGTCGCCGCAGATCCATGCTTGATGGCCCCAAGGCCCAACACCAGGCGCCAGCGGGCGATGCCCGCGGGGAACAACGCAAATGGAAAGAAACAGATCCTACAGCGGAGGCCAGTCCGCAAGAAACCTTCCACGAGGAACCCAACCCTGAGGCCCCAGGATGTGCAGTGGTTTCCGGCAACGTCACGCTTTTTCCACCGAAAACCGTCGAACCCCCCCGAAAAGACCCAGGGGCACCATGGAGGCAAGCAGGGTGTTTCTTGGCGTGGGTCTCCATTGTAAAATCTCTGGGCTTTCAAGACATGGCTCCGGCCTCCAGCGGCCGTCCGGGATACTCCTGGCATGCACCCGGGACGCTCTCGGCGAGGCGCAGCTGTTGAAGCGCATCCCCGAGGCTGGAAAATCCCTCCCCACCGGCCAGGATACTGATCCTCGGCGGCAGGGAGAACCTCCCGCCACGTACAGGACCTCATCAGAGGCCGAAGTCGAGGCAAGGCGCCGAGATCGAGGCAGCTGCACCGTAAAGTCAAGTCAAGCAAGCCGTGCATCCTGTAGGCTGTAGGACGCGTGGGCAGGAAGGAAGATGCGTTCAGAGCATTTTCAGAAGCAAAATATTCGCACGCCATGAGCGTAGCTGTGCCTTGATCGATGCCCTAACGTGCTGACGGACACTGCATTGCCTCTACTGCTTACTTAGAAGACGAACATTAACGCCATACACAAAATATAGACTGTTGGCGCTCCGCGCGGACTTCTTGGGTCTGCGCTGGGACCCCCTCCCTGGCGCGCGGAGCGCGCCAGGGGCGGCGCCAGAGGCGCCGCCGGGGGGCCAAGGCGCGGATCCGAGAAATCCACGCGGAGCGCCAAGAGTTTCTGTCTATGGCGTTTTTTCTGCTTCGAGTTTCTACTGCGTACTGGGTCGCAGTGCGTCCCTGGGAGGCGGCGTCGCCGAAGGGAAGCATTAGGTCGAGCCTGTCCCCCTCCAGGCGGACTTTGAACGGAAAAGAAAGGATACCTCAAACATATGCGAAAATAGGCAGAAGATGCTCCCAAAAATCGTGCCCTGACTCATCTCTCATAACAATTTTCGAATATTTGAGCAGGGACCGACCGTCCCGGCATTCCTATAGTCATACCTCGGAATGTTCTTAGAACCCAAAATTGTTCTAAGTTCAAAAACAATGTTCTTAGAACATAAACCCGATGTGTCAAAACAAGACAGTCCCAACCAAACATGTTCTAAGAACATGGCGAGAACACTTCGTGGGAACCACAAAAGGTTCTTCGAACATTGTTTGCTGGGGCTATGGGCGAGCCGGGACGCGTCGCCACTGCTTGAAATATCTCCCCTGTGGAGGGACACGCCCGGCTTAAGGGGAGCACGGGGCGAAAGGGCGGCGGCGGGGGGGGGGGCGCGCTGGCCGCGGCGCGCCCCGCGGGGCCTCCGACCTTGGCGAGCACCACGACCGTCCCGTGCGTGCTGGGAGCGGGGGGGGGCTCTGGCTGCCTCTCTTCTGGGCATCGCTCGGACGTCCATTCCTTGTGTTTTTTTTTCGGTTTCGTGCGTGGCTTCTTCGCCAAATGATCAAGGATGCTCCTCGATGGTCCTCGCCTAAGGAGAAATGCGCACGTTCGAGCGATGCCAAGTCTTCGGAAAGACGTATGTCGAAGAAGAAAGACGCCACAAACATAAACTTTTGGCGCTCTGCGCGGGCTTCTTGGATCCGCGCCGGACCCCCCCTCCCTGGCGCGCGGAGCGTGCCAGGGGCGCCGCCGGAGGCGCCGCCGGGGGGCCCAGGCGCGGATTCGAGAAACCCACGCGGAGCGCCAAAAAATTGTGTTTATGGCGTTTTTCTTCTTCGACTTCGGGGAGACGTGCCGTCGGACCTGGGCCGGAAGAACATCCTCCAAGATCGGGGGGAACGAAAGGGGGGGACAGCAAAGGGCAGGGTAGAGAATCAGCTCACGTAGCTGATTTTCCCGACGCCTCCCGGCGCCGGAGGCGCTCGAGGAACGGGCCCGACGGCGGGGCCGAAACCAGCTGCATGCAGCAGATTTCGTACCCCCCCCTTGTCCTATCTCCTCCCTTTCGTTCGGCCCGACTCTCTCTGCCTCTCTCCGGGGAGACGTACAGTCGGACCTGGGCCAGGAGAGCCTCCTCAAAGAGCAGGAGGCCCTCCGCCGGCCAGAGTGAAGAGCACGACACGAAGACGAGCACGAAGAACACTGGGCCTAAGTCGGGCCTGTCCCTCTACAGGAGGAATGTTCAAAAATAGTGAAAAATAGTGAAGGGTTGATTGTTTGATTATTTTTTGACCATTTTGGTGCATTTGTTGTCTATTTTTAATTTTTCGTCCAAAATCCCCCTGTAGGAGGACAGGCCCGACTTAAGCCTAGGATGCACAAAAACATCCAACAGAGACACGAAGACGGGCACGAAGAACACTGGGGACCCCTCCCCGATTCGACCTCGACCTTGCACTTCGGTCCGCCTGTAGCCTGTAAGACTCGGGCCCAGGGGACTCGGCCTGGCCTGACGGGGTCATCCTGAAAACGACGAGGCCCCATCATCTGAGACTCGACGCGAGCTCCCGCTGCAGCACGTCCGACGAAAACTGGACCGTTAGAATCTAGGACGCGCTCGTCAGAGAGCGTCGGCAAACCCGAGTTCTGGCGTACACGAGTCTTACTCGGGCGTTGGCAGAACTGGGTTTAGTGGGACCTGATTTAGTGATGTATACTGGGGAACGCCCCCCCCGCCCCGTTCACCTAACGGGAACTGCCGTCACCCCCCGAACAAGAACCAGCTACGGCAGACCTGGTGTAGTGATTCTGGCAAATTTAGAAGCTCCGGGGCCCTACAACTAACCAAGTCCCCTTACCTGGGGTCCTGGCTATACCCGACATTTCCCCGATCTCTCTCTCTCTCTCCCTCTCTCCCTCTCTCTCGCGCCCAGCTCCCGGCGCGGGAAGGGAGCGGGAGGAGACCAGCAAGGGAGCGGACATCTCAGGGGTGGCCTCGAGCTCCTGCCGTCCTCCAGGGCACCTGCAACAGGACATTCCTGCCCAGGACCTGGAAGAATCCACGTGGAGGGAGCGCGAATGTCTCGACCCATGGCTGCGATTTCCTAGGGCGCGCCAAAGGTTAATCGAAGTTCCCGTTTAGAGGGCCCAGAGCTCTCAGGCCGCGACCTCCTCGAATAGCCAGTCTCTCTATGTGTATTCGTTATGTTTACTAGTTATTAGGTATTCTCATCATTATTATTATCATGCTGTTGTTTCTTCTTCCTCCTTCTTCCCATCCGTCCGTGCGCAGCAGTGCGCACAAACTACTGGCTTCAGCAGTACTCGGCGATTGCTCCAGCTGGCAACCTTCAACGAAAAAGGCCAGACACCACAATCATCGAGAGTTGCTGCCGCTCTTGCTCCAGACCCTGAGCTTCCAGAGAGCTATCGTTTAGCACTGGAGACCTAAAAACCTAAAAAGCTGAGCGAAACAGCCTAAAACCAAGACGTAGAATAGCTTTGGCATAGGTTTCTAAGTCAGGTGCTATTTTTTAGCCCTCCTGGAAGGTCAGGGGAGCATCGCGGGGCGCCGACGGGGGCGTGCGTGTGGAGGTCCTGCCGGGCGTGGTCGGTGGCCGGGATGGCGGCGCGCGTGCCCGCCGAGGCCTGGTGGCAGGAACACGTCCGCGGAAGCAGCCACTCGTGACCGGTGTGCGGCCGAGCATTCCCTGACCTTCCAGGAGGGCTTAAAAATAGCACGCGACTTAAAAACCTATCCCAAAGCTATTCTACGTCTTGGTTTTCGGCTGTTTCGCTCAGCTTTTTAGGTCTTTGGGTCTCCAGTGCTGAAACGTAGCTCTCTGGAAGATCAGGGTTTGGCGCGCCTGCAGCGTCTTGCGCAGGAGTCGGGCATTTGCTCGGCAAGCGCGTGAAACTGCATACAGGGGACGCCCGACCACAAGAAACCTCCCACAAGAAACCCAACCCTGAGACCCCAGGACGTCCATTGACTGCTGGTGTGGGAACGTCACGCCTTCCACAGCACAGGCATCCAAACCCAAGAAACCCAGGGCACCCTGGAGGCAAGCAGGGCGTCTCTTGGCAGGGGCCTCCACTGTAGGCTCTGCGGCGAGTGATGGGGCGCTTCGGGGCCAGCTGGCTGCCACGGGGAGCGCTGGAGAACACACAAGGGGGCATGCGTGGGTGGGCTGGCAGGTCCTGGCCTGTGGGCTCGGCGGCCCCGGCGCAGCATGCAGGTGGCGGCGCACGCGCGAGCGTGGCCGTAGGGAGCGGTTTCGCGACTCGCACGAACTCTTCTTGGTAGTCCCCAAACGTGGTGGTGACAACACCTGGCGGTGAGTCTCGGGCGATTTGGTGTCACCACCCAAGGGGACTCGTGCGGTTTTCCGAGGATGTCCCGGACACTGGTGGGGTCCAGGAGTCACAAAACCCGGTGGTGACCCCGCGTCCCCAAACCCAGCGGTGACCTTTTTGGGGATTCCAGGTCACCACCTGGTATCTCACCACCCGGTTTGGGGGTTCCCAATCTTCCCGCCCCCCAGTCCCGAAGACCAGAAGACCCACGTGAGCGACGAGCAAAAACGGGCCTTATGCAAGATGACGTAGCGACCTTAAGCGGAAGCCTACGCGGGCCGCCAGCGCGGCACGCTACACTAAAGACGAGGGCGCTTACGCGCGACCTTACGCGGGGAGCTTACGCGCCAATGTCGGCACCGACGACCCCAGATTTTGGCGTCGCTCACGTGAGGAGGCGCATGTAACGCGGGGAGCTGCGGCCTGAGGGGCGGAGTTGGCAACAGAGCCCTCGAGCCCTCGAGCCGAACAGCCCCTCCGCATTACTGCTCCCTCCCTTGCACCTTCCCTCGCCCTCTTCTTGCATACTCCTCCATGCTGCACCCCTTCCCACCTTCGTCGTCTTCTTCTGCCTTTCCCCATGCCTCTTCCGCCTTTCCACCCTCCCCTCCCCATCTCCACCCTCCCCCCAAATTGGAGGCCTTGAAATTGACACCAACACCAACACAGGGTGCTGCCTCCGAAGGGGGAAGATGATCCTAGATTTCGGTGTTGATGGTAATATTTCGGCCACCTTGGAAGCCAGAATATTACCACCATCACCGAGACTGGGATCTACTTCCCTCGGTGGAGTCGCGCCGCCGATATTGGTGTTGGTGTCAACCTCGAGGCCTGCGACCAAACTCCCTTCCCCCCCTGTGTCCAGCGCATGCTCGACTCGAGTCCCAGCTGCCCCCCCCCAGCCAGGGTGACCAGCGCCCGGGGCGTCGCTACCCGCGCCTGGCCTGCGGGCTGGAATTGGGTCGGGCATGTCCTCCTGCAGCCGGGTTTTGGAGGAAAGACGAAAACTAGTCAAAGAATACTCAAGTAACAACTCAAACATATTCGAAACATCGTCCTCACACTACTTGTGCTCTTTGTGGGCCCCGGAAACGGCAGGGCCTTTTTCACCGTTTCCCCAAAAATGTCCCTTGAACATGGAAACGGCAAAAAAACGGCGACCGAAACGGCAACAAAAAAACGGCTCCAGGATTGGAACCGGAGCCGGAACCGGTCAACAAAAACGGCGACGGAACCGGTATAAAAAACGGCGCCGGAACCGGCAACAGAAACGGTAAAACGGAACCGGTCAAAAAAACGGCCCTGTCGTTTCCAGGGATTTTTGAACCTTCCTCCTGTAGAGGGTCGGGTCGGGCGAAAGGGGGGGATAGCAAAGGGGGGGTTTGAGAATCAGCTCACGTAGCTGATTTTCCCGGCGCCTCCCGGCGTCGGGAGGCGCGCATGTATCGAAGAATGGGCCCCTCGGTGAGGCCGAAACCAGCGCATGCCACATGCAGCAAAGTTCGCAACCCCCCCTTTCCCCCCAATCCCCCCTTTCGCCGACCCGAGAGGGACAACGCCCGACCTACCCGACCTGAGGCCGGAGTCGCGCACCACCGGATGCCCCGCACGTGCGCGCCCCCATCGGCCTGCTGCCGCACGGCGCGCAGCCGGAGCTGAGGCGCGCGGCCGTGCGGCCGCCTGGACGCTTGGAGAAGGTGAGAAGGAGGAGGCGTGAGGGAGAAGAGGAGAAGGAGGAGGGGAGAAGGGGAGGGGCGAGGAGGAGAAGGGGGTTAAGAGGAGGGGGGAGGAGGAGGAGGAGGAGGCAGGCGGAGGGAGGAGGAGGGAGGAGGAGGAGGAGGAGGAGGAGGAGGAGGAGGAGAAGGCGGGGTGAGGAGGAGGAGGGGAGGAGGAGGAGGAGGAGGAGGAGGAGGAGGAGGAGGAGGAGGAGGAGGAGGAGGAGGGTCGGGGCCTGTTGCTTATAGAGTGTCGCCGCGGCGCGGCGACCGGCGGCACGCGGCGCCCTTAGAGGAGGGGGCAACGCGTCGCTGCCCCTCCGCGGGGCGGAAGGCTCGGGACAGTTCGGGTCGATTGATGCTGGGGGGCCGGGAGCAGGTCGCGCCGAAGAGAGTACGGGACGGGAAAATGACCACAACCACTGGTTTTCTTCTGTTGCCGCCTTCCAGCCAGCAGAAACAAAGCAGTGATTGTGGCCATTTCTTTAAACTTGGCACCAGGCAGATGACCACAACGATTGCTTCTTTTTCGGCCGGCTGAAGGCGGCGCAAACAAGAAGCAGTGGTTGTGGTCATTTTCCCGACCCGCAGAGAGGTGGGCCAGAACAGGCGGAGCGACACGCCACCCAAAAGATCCCGATCGTGGCCCTTCTGGGGGCGGCCCGTACGACGCCTCCGGCTTGCGGGAGGGCATGGGCCCTGATGCTGGACTGGAAGCCGATCGCCCAAATGCCGCGGAGGCCGGGAAGACCTTCACTGGCATGCGGTCGCGCATCCGCGTGGATGAATCCCGCGTGCGGGAAGCTGTCGATGCCATGGCTGCCCTGTCTTTCCTGATGGAGCAGGCGTCCCTGCCCATCAGCTGGACGACTGTCACATTGGCGCAGGCTTCGCCGAGGGCGCCCCAGATATGCGGATAGAAGCTTCTGGAGGTCCGCGCTGGACTTCTTGGATCGGCGCTGCGCCCACCCCCTCTCTGGCGGGCGCGGGACGCGCCGCCAGGGGGGTCCAGCTTCGATCAAAGAAACCCATGAGGACCTCGCAAAGTACATGGCTGTGCCGCTTCTTCTGCTTCGTATCCTCTGCATACGTGTGCTCATGCTCGCCATCATGCTTGTTGTGGACATTATCATTACCCTCCATCGTCTGCTTCTGTCTATTCTTGTTCTTATTATTAATAGTATCATTATTATTATTCGTATTATTATCATTCCTATGAGTAGCATTAACATCATATGCTTCTTGGTCGTCGTCTCGTCATTTTCTTCATCATATTCTTCTTCCTCGAATTGAGGCCCCGGGCGGGGAAACGCGGGCCGTACCGGCATGGCCTCACGGCGCCGATGAGCACGCTGGGCCGCGGCAGGGGGCAACAACAAAAAAGCGCCCGCCTGTGCCTCCGCAGCGAGACACTCAGGTCCTGCAGGCCCTCGACGCTGGGGAGCTGCTCCTGGGCAGGAGCGCGCGCGCGAAGCCCCGGGTCAAACGAGAGGGACGGCATAGCGCCACACAGTTGGAACCCTCCCTGCTCCGTCTCCTCCTCCTCCTCCTCCTCCTCCTCCTCCTTGTTCCCTCCTCGTCGCCTCCACCTCTCCTCCTCTTCAACTCATGTTCGTCTCGTCCTCAATACCTCCTCTCTCTTCCTCCTCCTCCTCCTCCTGCTCCTCCTCCTGCTCCTCCTCCGTGTCCTCCTCCGTCTCCTCCTCATCCTCATCCTCCTCCTCCTTCTCCTCCTCCACCTCCCGCTCCTCCTTTTCTTCAACTCATGTTCGTCTCGTCCTCAATACCTCCTCTCTCTTCCTCCTCCTCCTCCTCCTGCTCCTCCTCCTGCTCCTCCTCCGTGTCCTCCTCCGTCTCCTCCTCATCCTCATCCTCCTCCTCCTTCTCCTCTCCTCCTCCTCCTCCTCCTCTTCTCTCCTCCCTCCCTCCTCCTCTCTCCTCCTCCTCCTCCTTCCTCCTCCTCCTCCTCCTCCTCCTCTCCTCCTCCTCCTCCTCCTCCTTTTCCTCCTCCTCCGCTTCCTCCTCCTCCTCCTCCTCTTCCTGGCCACCACCCAGGAGTTCTGGAGGATGGGCTGTCAGCGAGGTCGGCCAGCATCTGAACGAGAGCGCCGATCTAGTCCACGCTCCGTAGGACGGGCATCTTCATGTTCGAACTGACCTGCTGCGCCTCCCTGCGTCGCTCATCTTCTGCTTAATATGATTAAAACTATCTTTAACAAGGAACAAGTATTACTAGTAGTGTTATCATTATGTGTATTCGTCTTCGTTTTTGTAATGGTTAGTGCTACTAGTTTATTGCTTTTGATATTCATTATGTTTCGCCTGTCTGTTCGTATGATGCATCATTATCCTTCCCTTCGCCTTCGTCTGTTTCATTCTTAGTGCTGGTAATGAATTGCTCTTGCTGTTATGATGTTTCGTCTCATTGCTTGTATGATTCATCCTCCTCCCCCTCATCCTCCTCCTCCTCCGACTCTTTCCTCCTCTCTCCGCGAGCGGCCCAGGCAGCGGCAGACTATCTGCCGCGCTCGCTGCGTAGGGGCACCATCTTGAGCGCGGAGGGCAACGAGGGGGACTGGCGCCTCCTGGTGCCGGAGGCGCCCCTGCGTCCAGGACAACGCTTAGGTCGGGCGTGCCCCCCTACAGGCAGATTTTGGATAGAAAATAATGAAAGAATTCAAAACATGCAAAAATTAAAAATAATCAAAAAATCGTCCCCATGCTATTGTTTTGGCTAGTTGGGAATGTTCCTCCTGTAGAGGGACAAGCCCGACTTAAGACAACGCCCAGCGGCGGGACCGACACTGGCTGCACGCAACAGACGTCGATCCGCCCTTCCTTTCCCATTCTCCCCCCAATATCGCCCGACCCCGATCCTGGGCAAGGGCGCCCGCTGAAACGAGAGCGGGAGGAAGACAACGACGCGGATGCAGAGACACGCCCGGAATAGCATAGACCCAGATATTCGAAGATGGGAATTTGTAAACGTTCGGCGCCAGAGGTCCCTCTCCACCCCCAGGGACAGCTTTGAAGGGGCCCCAGGACACACAAAGAAATACACACAAATAAAAAGATTCCCCATATTTTCCCATATTTTCTGGGTTTCTGTCTTTCCCCCCACTTCCCATATTTTCCCATATTTTCTTGGGAATCGAAGATTCATTGTGTCTATGTGTTTCTTTTCCTCCTGAAGCTCCCCGTCCCTGGTCCACACTTCCTGGCCCTGGGACCAAGCGACGGGCCCCGCACGAGCAACGAGCAATGACTGTCGGACGTGGGGAGCTGGCGGGCCCGGCGGCCGTATGCTGGGCGCCGCGGCCGTGCCACCCCGCACACCAGCCCGAGCCAGCCCAGAACTCCGACGATAAAGGGGCCACTAGATAGCGCCCCCACAGCCAACTCCAAACGAGGAGGCCACGACGCGCCAAATGCGAGCCGACCGTCCTGAACGAAGCTGTCCGGCGAACGTGGCCGAAACTCGGGCCACCGATTCGGAGGAGAGGGGGGCGAGGAGAGAGACTGGCGGCTTGTTTTGTTCACCACTTTCTCCCCCGGAAGCCTGCACCCTTTCCCCTGGACTGGCTTGTCGTCCCGAGCTGTTCTGTGGTCCCGGGACGAAAGCCTTCCGTCCTGTCTGTTCATGTCCCGACTACGTCATGCTACAGTAGGGGCCCGACCACAAGAAACCCAACCCTGAGACCCCAGGACGTCCATGGATGTTTGGTGAGGGAACCCCATGCTTCCTATGGCAAAACCATCGAAACCCAAGAAACCCAGGGCACCCGCGGGGCAAGCAGGGTGTCTCTTGGCATGGGTCTCCACTGTAATGACATTCCGTCGTGATTGCCACCAGCCCCCCCCCCCGTGCGGCAGTCTGCATGCGTTTTTTCTTTTATAGGCCATCATGGCCGTCGCAGCGGCAAACTCATGAGCGCAAACATCGAAACACGAACGGCTGCATAAACACAAACGTTCGGAGCTGCGCGCGGGATTTCGTGGGTCGTGTGACCCTCCCGTCGTGACTCTCTCCTGATCGTAGGTTTGGACGCCCGAAATGGGTACGAAAAATATCGGTACGATACCCAACAACAAAGGCTGTCCAAAACCGTCAGCGGCCGCTGTTGGGCAAGTAAACCCTTCTTGCAAATGGACACCGTCCGCGCCGACACCGACACCGATTCCTGTCCCAAAGGTACAAGAGCCGCTGTCGCACTTTGTGCCCCTACGAGGAGGATGAGGAGAAGGAGGAGGAGGAGGAGGAAGAGGAGGAGGAGTCGGAGGAGAAGGAGGTACGTGGGAGGAAGAGGAGGAGGAGGAGGAGGAGGAGGAGGAGGAGGATGGAGGGGGGGAGTAGTAAGGAGAAGGGAGAGAAGGTGACGAGGTAGGAGGGAGGAGGCGGAGGAAGGAGGAAGGAGGAGGAGGAGGAGGAGAATGACGAGGAGGAGGAGAGGAGGAAGGAGGAGGAGAAGGAGGGAGAGGAAGGAGGATGGGGAGGAGGAGGAGGGAGGAGAGCAGGTACTCCAGGAGAAGGAGGGAGGAGAGGAGGAGGAGGAGAAGGCGTACTGAGATGGAGGAGGAAGGAGGAGGAGGAGGGGAGGAGGAGGAGGAGGAGGAGACCTGGCAGGCCGCCGCCGCCGGGAGGCGCGGAAGCCGGGCACGGCGGTCCTGCTCCTCCCAGGCCCCCGCGGCGGCCGCCGCGGGGCCGCCCATCTCCGGCAGCGGCTAGCGCGGGCCCCCCCGCATGCCCTCCAGAGGAGCAGGCCCGGATCTCCGACGAGGCTTGCCCTGCTCCGCCGGCAGGCTTTCCTCGACCTGCGGCCCTCGGGGGCAGCTTTTCCTCCTCCTCCCCCTCCTCCTCCTCCTCCCCTCCTGCTCCTCCTGCCTCCTCCTCGCCCTCCTCCCTCCATCCTTCTCCCCTCCTCCTCCTACTACTACTCCTCCTACTCCCTCCTCCTCCTCCTCCTCCTCCTCCTCCTCCTCCTCCTCCTGCCTCCTCCCTCCTACCTCCTCCTCCTCCTCCTCCTCCTCCTCCTCTCCTCCTCCTCCTCCTCTCCTCTCCTCCTCCTCCTCCTCCTCCTCCTCCTCCCTCCTCCTCCTCCTCCTCCTCCTCCTCCTCCTCCTCCTCCCTCCTCCTCCTCCTTCATCCTCCTCCTCCTCCCTCCTCCCTCCTTCCTCCTTCCCTCCTCCCTCTCCCTCCTCCCTCCTCCCTCCTCCCCCTCCCTCCTCCCTCCTCCCTCCTCCCTCCTCCTCTCCCTCCTCCCTCCTCCCTCACTCCCTCCTCCCTCCTCCCTCCTCCCTCCTTCCCTCCTCCCTCCTCCCCCTCCTCCTCCTCTCCTCCTCCTCCTCCTCCTCCTCCCTCCTCCTCCTCCTCCTCCTCCTCCTCCTCCTCCTCCTCCTCCTCCTCCTCCTCCTCCTCCTCCTCCTCCTCCTCCTCCCCCTCTTCCTCCTCCTCCTCCTGCATCGGCCGCGGGTGGAAGAAATCATGCCCGCAGACGTCATGGCTCTCCACAAGGGGGGGAACGAATTGGGGAGCCGCCCGCTCAGGTGGGGAGGGGCCATCGAGCTGCAGTCGGCGATACTCGCCGAGAGATCGGCGACAAACCTCAGATGGCGATGCCACCCGATCTTGGGCGGGGTGGGCTCCAGGCCCATCTCGGCGATGGAAAGGCGATCGGGGGACGATGCCCCCAGTCTCCAGACCCAGACCCCCGACGTCATGATTTTTTCACGACGTGGGCCCCCAGCGGCCTGGACCCCATTCCCGGGACCGGTTTTGCATCCCGAGTCGTTTTTGGACGGTCCCGAGGGCCCGTGAGGGCCACCAGGGGCCAAAAATAGCAAAGAACTCCCCGTCATGGTTTTTGTCATGACCCGAGGGGGTCTGGGCAGGAGGAGCACAATCGCACAGAGCAGGAACTTTTGGAGCTCCGTGCGGAGGAGAAGGAGGAGGAGGAGGAGGAGGAGGAGGAGGAGGAGGGAGAAGGAGGAGGATGAGGAGGAAGGAGGAGGAGGAGGAAGAGGAGGCGGAGGAGCAGGAGGAGGAGGAGGAGGAGAGAGGAGGACCTCTTGGGTCGGCGCTGCCTCTCCTCGGTGTGCGGATCGCGCGAGACCTTCGGCGCCGACCCAAGAACTATCCGCGTGAGATCGGGACAGCTTGTACTCGCCCATGTCTGCCCCCCCCTTCGTCGTCGTCCCCCTCCTCCTCCTCCTTCTCCTTCTCCCTCCTCCTCCTGCTCCTCCTCCTCCTCCTCTTCTCCTCCTCCTCCTCCTCCTCTCCTCTTTCCTCCCTCCTCCTCCTCCTCCTTCTTTCTCCCTCCCTCCCTCCTCCCTCCTCCTCCCTTCCTCCCTGCTCCCTCCTCCCTCCTCCTCTCCTCCTCCTCCCTCCTCCTCCTCCTCCTCCTTCCTCCTCCTCCTCCTCCTGTGCTCTTCGGCGACCGCAAGCTAAAAACCTACCAAGATCTTGAGCCGGCCATCGAGCACGGGCGGGTGTGGGGATAGCGCGGGAAAACTCGTGGAGTTCGAGGTGGGTGTGGCTCGTGTGTTGGTGAAAAGCGACGGGGGGAAAATAATAAGAAGAAGAAGGCCTTCTCGGAAGGCTCGGAGGTCCCCCGGCCCTCTGAGAAGTTTTCTGAGCCTTCCCCGAGGACGGACAGAACCTCTCAGAAGGCGCGAGGGCTGGGCTTCTGAGGAGTCTCGCCGCCTTCTGAGGAGGCCCTCTCCTCCTCATCTCCAGCCCCCGCTCGCCGCAGATCGCGAGGAGGACGAGCGGACCACCGATGCTGGCCATCGCTCGGACGTTCACTGACTGTGTTTTTTTCTGTTTCGTGCGTGGTTTTTTCGCCAAATGATCAAGGATGCTCCTCGATGGCCCTCGCCGAAGGAAAAATGCACACGTCCGAGCGATGCCAAGGATGTGGTGATCGGAGGGACGGCGTGTGGCCTGTCGCAGAGCCAGTCCCGAGGGAAGCGGGCCCCAGACCCCGGGGCATTCCCGCAGGACCAGCTGGAAGGGGGCCCAGGGGCACACAAAGGAATACACACAAATCCCAGCATCCCCCACAGTTTTCCATTATTTTCTGGGTCTTCGTCTCCCCCCCTTTCCAAAAATTGTGCCACATCGTCCTGGGGATCGACGGTGCTGTGTGTCTATACTTGTTTTCCCTTTCCTGGCAGTTCCTCGTCCTGGACCATTTTCTGACGACCCCGGGGCCCTTGGAGGGCCCCGGGAGGCCCGAAGAAATGGAAAAACATGCAGGACCTGTTCCCAACTCCAGACTCCTGTGCTCCGTGGCGGGATTCGAAAAAGAAATAACAGCACAAACCGAAACTCTTGGCGCTCTGCGCGGACTTCTCGGGATGTGTGCTGGAACCCCCTCCCTGGCGCGCGGAACGCGCCAAGGGCGGCGCCCGAGGCGCCGCCGGGGGGGCCCAGCGCAGATCCAAGAAACCCGCGCGGAGCGCCAAAAGTTTCTGTTCAGGGCGATTTTTTGTTCTTCCTCGAGACACGTTTCCAACTCAGGACCCCTCTGCTCCGTGGCGGGATGGCGGGGGCTCCTCAGCTTTGGACACCCGAAATGGGTACCGAAAGAATGGGTACAATGCCCAACAACAAATGTTGTCCCAAACCTACAGCGGCCGCTGTTGGGCAGGCGGCCTTCTGTCTCGAATGGGCACAGGCCGCGGCGGCGCGGACAGCGAGTCATGTTCGAAATGAACAGGAACTGCTGCTGGGCATCGTACCCAGAGGAGGAGGAGGAGGGGGAGGAGCGGGAGGAGGAGGAGGAGTGGGTAGATATGAGGCTGATGACGACAGAGGAGGAGGAGGAGGAGGTATGATGACGTAGTAGTCAGGAGGTATGATGATGATGTACTAGGGTGAGTAGTAAGAGTATGAGTCGGAGGAGGAGGAGGAGGCATTCTTTCTGTGCCCATCCCGTTCGTGCAGATCAGCAACGCGGATCTCACCAGCCCGGCCGCGAGAGTGCGGCCCCGCGCGTCGTGGGCGCCGCCGTGGGCCACACACGCCGAACCCGATCTCGTCGCCGCGGCGGGCTCCCCCGAGCAGCCCGGCCTGCTGTGCGAGTGCAGGGCGAGGGCAGCATCGGACGAGGGACAAGTCCGAAGTCGGGCCCGTCCTCCTACGGGGGAGTTTTTGGACGAAACACAAAAAATGATCAACACATACACCACAATGGTCAACAACATACTTGAACAAAGTCGCCCCCAAACCATGTTTGTGACTATTTTTGAACATTCCTCCTGTAGAGGGACGGGCTCGACTTCAGACGAGCCAGGAATCTCTGAGAGCCAGAGGGTCTGGAGGATGGGCTCGGGCGCCGCGCCGCCTCAGAGCGCTCGCGCTCCGAGAGCGCTCCAGAGCGCTCTGGGGCGACTCGTCTTCATCCTGGGCCTGCCTAGGCAGAGGACATCACGAAGCCGCTGCAGGCCCCTGGAGGTTCCTCTGTCACTCAACGTTTCGCTTCTCGCTGCGTGCAACGCGGCTTCCTGGAGGAAGACCGCCGGGCTATCTTCGCGTCCTTGCGTGCAGGCCCTGCCGGGCGCGGTGCGCTGTGCATGCGCCCGCTTCGCTTTGAGGCAGGCTGCGCCGGCGAGAGCCTTGCTACAACGCGCAGCGCACACCATCTGAGGCACATCTGGGCCCCTCCCCAGCAAGTGCTGCAGGATCTGTCAGCATCCAACCAAAGCATCGTGTCGGATCGGAGCTGCAACGGGACGGAATCGAAATCGAATCGACCCGGGTCAGCCGCGCAAACATGCACAACTAAACCGTTCTGGGAGGCAACGGGGCCGCCGGAATACCAAACCCGAATCGGATCACGCCGGCCGAAACCTATCTCGAATCGGATCAATCAGGTCGAGCTGCCTGTATCCCTTCAGGCCTCGATAGGGGTGCCCTGGGCCCAGGCATCCGACGATGCGTTCGGTTTTTGTTCTAATGCGCGGCCTCACAGGTCCCGATCTCGTCCCCATGGCTACTTCTTCATCCAAGATCCCATATCTCTAGCCCCTGGGCGCGACAATCGGATTTCAGAGGCCGCGATCGAGGAGACACGCCGGGGCAAAAGCAGAATCGCTGGAGGCCTGGAGGGGCCGCAGGGGGGCCTCCGTGGCAACCCTGGGTAGACCCTGGGCCCGGGCCGCTCCGGCACACCACCCCGACGCTGGCCTTCTGTCGGGCGTGTCCCCCTACAGGGCGATTTTCGACGAAAAATAAAAAAGACATGAACATACCCCAAAAAGGTCAAAAATACTAAAACAACAAAAAAAAAAAAAGATAGTCCCCAGACTATTTTTGGAGCATTTTTGGACTATGTTGGGGGTATGTTTTTGTTTTTTCGTCGAAAATCCCCCTGTAGGGGGACAGGCCCGACTTGACGCTGGCCACTGCCCTTCTTCGGGCGTCAAAAAAAAAAAAAAAAAAAAAAAAAAAGCAAAAAACCTAAATAAACAAACAAAAAAATAAACAAATATATACAAAAAGAAAAGAAAAAAAAAAAAAATACAACAGCACTCGTAAACATCGCTTAAAAGGATAACTAATATATAGGATAAAACAGATAATAAAAAAAATACTATATAGGATAAAATCGCTCCAGAAAAAAAAGAAAAAAACAAAAAAAGAAAACAAAAAAAAACGACGAAAAAAAAGAAAAAAAAAAAAAAAGAAAAAAATAAAATAAAAAAGAAAAACAGAAAAGAAAAAAAAAATAAGAAAAAGAGAAAAGAATAAAGAAGACAGAAAAAAAAAAACGAAAGAAAAATAAGAAAAAGGTAAAAGAAAAATGAAAAAAAAAAAAGAAGAAAAAAAGAGAAAAAAAGAAAAAAAAATAATAAAAAAAGTAGCGTTCCGTATCGCTCTCAGAGCGTTCCGGAACGCTCTGGCTCGGCCGCGGCGCCCAATACATCCTCCAAACCCGCCGATTCTCAGAGATTTCGAGTTATCCCGATCCGATGTTGTCCCGATCTTCGCGTCGTTTTAACTGCCCTTCTGCGGGTCGTAGCACTCGGCTCTCCGGCGGCCGCTCCCGCGCTCGGGGCGATCCCCGGGCACTCCGTGGGAGCGCCCTCGGCGTGGCGCAGCTGCTGGACCGCATTCCCGAGGCTGGCCCGCCGCCGGGAGCCGACGGAGACCCGCGAGCAAACACCAGTCCAACGTCGAGCCCCCCCTCGAGCCGAATTATCAACTTCGAGCCCCTCTCGAGCCGAAGCATACCCCCCCGCCCTCTCGCCATCGCTCGGACGCCCATTCCCTGTGTTTTTGTTCGGTTTCCTGCATGGTTTTTTCGCGGAATGATCAAGGATGCCCCTCGATGGTCCTCGCCGAAGGAAAAATGCACACGTCCGAACGATGCCAGGCTCTCGAGCCGAAGCATGCCCCTCCCCCTCGCAACGCGAAGAGGGCGCACACGGCGGCTCCCGGCGCCCGCGTTTCCTTCTCCGAGAGAGGCGCCCGCTGGCAAGAGAGGCCTGCGGCAGTCCCCCTTCGGGGGAAGGCGAGGCCCTGCGCGGCGGCCGCCCACGCGCACGCGCGCTCGCGCCTGCGCGCTGGCCGGTCCTCGTCGTCGTCGTCGTCGTCGTCGTCGTCGTCGTCGCCGCCGTCGTCGTCGTCGTCGTCGTCGTCGTCGTCGTCGTCGTCGCCGTCGCCGTCGTCGTCGTCGTCGTCGCGGTCGCCGTCGTCGTCGTCGTCGTCGTCGTCGTCGTCGTCGTCGTCGTCGTCGTTTCCGCTCTTGCCGTGCATCTCGTTCTCCTCTGCTTCCTGTGCGGTTGAGAGGGCGGGGGCGTCCCATGCATGGGGAGGGAAGATCGGCGCCCCAGGGTCACGTCCTACATTGACCCTTGCCCCCTTCCATGCCCATGTTCGTTCATGCCTGTGCTGTTTCGTCCCCGGACCAGTGGAGGCGGGGATCGGCGAGGCGGTGCCGAGGCTCAGACCCACAGCGCCAGCGGCTCGGGGCGGCGCAGCTGCCCAGCACAGGCCGAGCGGGCCACCTGCACGGGCTGCGCTGGCTGCTGGCCGCAGGCGGGAGCCTTCCGGGGGCGGGGCTCTTCGCGCCAGCGCCAGCGCCGCCGCCACCAATCACGAGGGGCGAAGTACGATTGGCGCTGGAAGTGTAGCGCGGAAGATCGATCTCCAAGAGGCACGCTGTCCCTGTGAGGCGATTCCCCCCGTGCGCCATCCCC